TGAATAGTTTTCTATCATTCTTGGCATAGATTGTGTTTTTTATCTCACGATCTATGTTGTGGAAGATTGATGCGGCAGTGAGCGAGACGTTGTTGTGGATGACGTTGTTGCGCTGTTTCCAGATGTGGAAAATGACTGCTTGACTGACCAGCTTACGAAGTAGTGAACGTTGCTTGCTCTCTGTTGCAGAGACAGAGGTGAGAAATATACTGTTTGTTACATGAGGTTCTCGTATCCACGCTAACAGCTCAGACCAAGTGATGAACAATTGCATACGGCTCTTGAGTCGGATGAGAACCATTCTCCATATGTCAGAGCTATATTCACACCTGAGAAAAAGGTGGTCTCTAGTTTCTGTATCCCTAGAACAAAGGCAGCATGACGGCGAAATTTGCATCCCCCACGCCACTAATCTCGCTCTTGTTGGGAGCCTGTTATCATTAGCTGTCCACATTGTGAAAGAGTGCTTAGGAACAGACCCTTTGAACCACACCACATCCACCCAATCCTTCACAATTTCTCGAGGTCTCATAGCTTCCCAAGTAAGCGATGAAGAGAAATTGTTGCTACACGTACCATTTACATTCCAGACAAAAACATCATCCTCATCAGCAAGCGGAAGAACAATGGTAGTTAGGTGTACCTGGAGAAGAAGCTGCTCTGCTGTCCTTGGTGATCGAATAGACCAGCCATTTGCATTGATTAAGGAAGCAACGGAAGCGTTGAGAGGGATACCAAGACTACGAGGCCCATGTGGTCCAATGTAGTCTAACAACTTTGGAAATGGAGTCCAAGCATCGAACCAAAATTTAATTCTTTTGCCATTTCTCAGATGAGCTTTGCAGTAGTTTTGAGCTTCGGGACGTAGCTTAAGGAGCTGCTTCCATGCCCAAGAATCGGAGTCAGCTGGTTCAATAGCCCAAAAGCTATGATCTGCAAGATGGTGTCTAGTATGCCACGCTACCCACAAAGATTTGCTGTTAGAAAATAGGAGCCAAATAAATCTCAGGCATAGGACTTTGTTCCACACGATGAAGCTTCTCAGACCCAATCCACCTTCTTCCTTTGGAAGGCAAACAGTTTTCCAAGCTACCTTCGCTATTGTCGGGCAGTCAATATTACCAGACCACAAAAATTTTGAACAGAGAGACTCAATCATACGAATGCAGCTTTTCGGGAGAATGAAAGTCGAGATCCAGAAGTTGACCGTTCCTGTTATGACTGATTTCAAAAGCTGGAGGCGGCCAGCAAAAGATAGAGTTTTAACCGCCCACATTTTGAATCTGGAGATGATCTTACTGATTAAAGGATCGTACTCACTGATCTTAAGCTTCCTACTCATTAAAGGGAGGCCTAAATATCGTATTGGAAGAGTACCAGAAGGATATCCATAGCGAGAAATTGCCAAGGATTCGGTTTGGTCCAAACCCGATGTAAAAAGCTCTGTTTTATTCCTGTTCACAGTCAGTCCAGACCAGCTAGCAAAGTCATCAAGGCATTCAGTAATCCCATGTAAGGAGTTACTTGTTCCGTCAAAGAAAACCATGACATCATCCGCAAACATAAGATGAGAAATTTTCAATTCTGCAGTTCTAGGATGGTAAGAGATTGAACCTGATTCATATCTATTATTTAGCAGTCTTGAAAGAGCTTCCATGGCCAACACAAACAGGTAAGGAGACAATGGATCACCCTGTCTGATGCCCTTTGAGCTTCTGAAAAATCCCCCCGAGGCTCCGTTAATAACGATAGAAAATGAGGGTGAAGTGATACATTCATTTATCCAGTTGATGAACAGAGACGGCAAAGACAAAGCTTTCAGAGTGGCAAGAATAAAGTCCCAGCGAATCGAGTCAAAAGCCTTCCGAAGATCCACTTTCAACATGCCTTTTGGCTCAACACTTCTGGCATTATAACCTTTCACAAGATCAGTCGCTAGCAGGACATTTTCAGCTAGAAGCCTCCCCGGTAAGAAAGCAGATTGGGATTGGGAGATAATTTGAGGTAATAGAGCCTTCAATCTGGTTGCGAGAAGCTTGGAGATCACTTTATAAACAGTATTAAGACAGGATATGGGTCTGAAGTCAGTTGTACTTGCTGCATTTGGTACCTTCGGAATTAGAACCAACGAGGTTGCATTCCACTGTTTTAGTAACTGGCCCGATTCAAAAAACTCCAGAACTGCTTCAGTCACTTCTGGTCCAACAACTGACCAGCAAGCTGTGAAAAACTCTGCAGAGTAACCGTCTGGTCCACAGGTCTTATTCTTAGGAAGAGACCAAAAAGCTTCTTTAATTTCTTTCGCAGTGAATTTCTGAGAAAATTTAATCTTGTCTTCTGTTGAGCAAGAAAAATCAAATAAAGTGTCAAGGTCACTCTGCTCGAACATAGGCTGATCCACCGGGCTCCCCAGGAGAGACGAGAAATAGTTAATACAGTGGCTTTCAATATCAGCGTGTGTCTCCAGACGAGTACCCGCTTCATCAATTAGGAAATGAATGTGGTTTGCTGCATTCCTTGTAGCCATCATTCTATGGAAAAATCGTGTACCGCTGTCACCAAGCCCTAACCATTGAATTCTTGATCTCTGCAGGAAGAAACTCTCTTCAGCTAGAGAAAGGACTTCCCATTTATTGATCGCATCAAGCTCTATCTCAGCATTCTCAGATGACGGGTCAGCCAACATGTTGTTTTGAGCATCAAGCATGCTTGAATGAGCCTCTTTCGTCCTCTGCTCAATGCCTGAATAATTTGACTTGCTGAATTCTCGAATGTCTTTCTTTAGCATCTTAAGTTTCCTCGAGACCCTGTACATTGCAGAACCAACAACGTTAAAAGAATGCCACTGCAGATTGACCATCAGCAAAAAGTTTTCATTCTTCAGAAGAAAATTGAAAAATCTGAAAGGCCTCTTGAGAAAATCTCGAGTGGGGGAGAGGGAGATTTTCATTGCTGCATGATCAGAGAAGTCTGGATTGTCGAAAAAAGCTACAGCATCAGGAAACAACTGATTCCAAAGGTCATTTGCTAAAATTCTGTCTAGTTTCTTTGCTAATGGGTGAAGCTTCTGCTTATTCCACCAAGTAAATGAGTTGCCCCTGAAATTTAAGTCATGGAGATTAGCTTCCACAAGACAGTCTCTAAACTGCCTCATTTTTTTATTCACATTTGATGTTTTTTTCCTGGAGTGTTCCGAAGGGCTTATGATCTGGTTGAAATCACCAAGGACCAGCCAAGGTTTTCCAGTCATCCATGTAGATGACGCAAGCTCTGTAATCTCATTCCATAACATCGATCTCAACTCCGGAAAGTTCGATCCGTATACAATAGAAATGATGGAGACGACCTGTTGTTCCGGCATAGTAACCTCACAAGTGACCATCTGTAGCGACTTTGAAATAATTCTGACACTTACTGAAGGGTGCCACAAAATCCAAATTTTACCTAGCTCCGAATATAAATAATTGTCCTCAAAAAGCCAGCCCGGTAGAAGCTCATTTATAAACTTCTTCATCTTAGGCTGTTGGACATGAGTTTCAATTAAACCGCCGAAAATGGGATTATTAACCCTTATCCATTTTTTGAAACCGTTCCGGTGACTATATTTATTAAATCCGCGAACGTTCCAACAAAAAAGGTTTCCTAACATTGATCAGAGGTGTTTGGGGCCCTTGCCCCTTGAGTCACTTAGTCCACGAAAATGCTTTTTCCGGACCTGTTTGAAACCGTGTATCTGATCATAGTATTGTCCTTCCTCAAGTTCAGAATCAGTAGACTGAACATCAGAAGAGTCTTCTTCCACACCAGAGGAAACATCACCAGTATATAAAGACTTCTCTCCTACTGAGTTTGGATAATTTGCTAAACCATGTTTTCCACTAGAGAAAATAGGTGCAGCCTGCTTAGCACTTGCTTCACCTACTGTAAAATCAGTAGCAGTACCCAACTTTGATGTAAAATTTGACTCCACTGTGACCTGAGCAGGAATGGGTATCGAAGGTGAAGCTTTAGCAGTAGGGACGACAGCCCAAAGCTGCTCTTTGGGCTTTGATCTAGATCGACCTCTCCTTGTCTTTTTTGCTCGAGACCCTTGATCTTTGACTCCCGCTGGATTCTTGTTTCTCAAGCAATTTGCTTCTAAGTGAGCAGTAGATTTGCATTTACGACATGTGACTGGAGCAAGCTTGCAGCGCTTCACATTGTGTCCAATCTCCTTGCAATGAGAGCAAACAGGAGGCATCCACGGACTAGAGACAAGAACACGACACACTTCACCTGATTCGAACTGAGCATTTACTGCCTCTGGAAGCGGCTTCCTTGGATCAATGATGGTGAAAACTTTAGCAACCTCAAGATTTGACTTATTAGCTGTCTGAGGGTGAAGGAATTTAGGGTCCCCAACCAGACCAGCAATGCGTTCCAAGCCATCTTCATTGAAGAATTGAAACGGAACATTTCTTAACTCAAGCCAGATAGGAGCAGATGTCAGCTCCGGCTTCTGAGGAATCACTCCTGGTTCCCATTTATCCACAAACATAGTCTGTCCTTCTATCTGCCAGAGTCGCTGTTTAATAACTCTAGACCGGGTGGAAGCGTTTGGAATCCGGAAAAGGAAAGCAAATCCCTCAAGCTTTGAAACTACTATGTCTCTGTAATTTTTACTCCATATACCATTCACTATGTTGTGGATAGTACCCTGCGACGGAGGATCAGAATAAAATTGCCCCAGAACAAAGCACTCCCAAGATTTACGATTTTTTTCGATGACAGAGTTTGGTATCTTAATGCAAGCCTCGCCAGACGGTAGAATGAAAGGTTCTCCCTTTCGCTCAAGCTTCTTTGTAATCCCTTTAGCATGAGCGCACCAGGTATCAGTTGGGGTTGCCGGAGACTTTGCCGGTTTGTCATTTACTTCTGGAGAGGGGGTATCGGTGGCTATAGGAGGATTTCCTATAACAGGAGGCACAACCACCCTATTCAGAACAGAATGCTCTGTATATGTTGCAGGGATCTGTGCCGCAGGAGCATTTACGAGGGCAGGATCTGCTACTGGAGTAACGATCACTTGGGAACTTGCTGGCGTTTTTGGAAGAGCCAGTACTGGATCTGGGATTTCCAGAGCCTGCTGAGCGACTATATCATGCTTTGAAAGCTCAATATGTGCATCTGAAGCGGCTATAGAATGGTCTGAGTTTCCTAAGGCCAGCTGAGCGACGATATCATGCTTTGGAAGCTTAATATGTGCATCTGAAGCGGCAACGGACGGATCTGAGACTGGAGAAATCGAAACATCAGTGCGCAGTGTAGACAAAGCTCCGCTCACAGGGACAACTACCGCTGGTGCTGGAGGAGAGTCGACAGAGCCTGCGCCTGGAGGTACGATTCCGAGGTTTATAGACTCAAGGACAATCCTTACGCGGATCATGTAGATAACGACGAGAATCAAACGTTATACATCCTACACCAAATGATAGAGTCATGGATCTACGTTTCAAGAAACCTCTTGAACCGAATCAACACGAGTATCGAGGAAGGAAGATTCGAAAAGGCTTCCAACGATGTTTACTTGGTAGAGAGAATTTGGAAGGTTATGAGGGAGATTGAAGATTTACATATTCTAATGGATCCTGAAGATTTTTTGAAACTTAAGAAGCAGTTACAAATCGAATCATTAAACGATGCGTTTTGTTTGAGATCAAGGGGATTAGTGGAGATGACGAAGATGTGTAAGGATCTAAGGGAAAAGATACCGAAGATTCTTGAGGTTGAGGTTGATCCCACGGGAGGACCGAGGCTGCAAGAGGAGGCGATGAAGGTGTACGCGAGGAAGGGAGGAGAGTGGGGTAAGATTCATCTGCTTCAAGGGATGCAAGGTGTGGAGGCGGCTGCGAAGAGTTTCTTTTTTGCGTATAAGCAGTTAGTTGCGGTGATGATGGGAAGTGCGACGGGGAGTCAGGTGTCGTGTGATTCGTTGAGTCAGATATTTATGGAGCCCATGTATTATCCGAGTCTTGACGCGGCAAAGACGTTTCTTGGAGAGTTTTGGGGTAACTTGGGATGAAAGAAAGGAGGGGAACAAATCAATTCTTTAATACTGCTGTTTATTTTTATATAAACTGGTGTGGTTAGATGTAGTTTGCTAAAGTTTTGGAACATTTGACTATCCATATGTTTGAAAATAATTTATTTTATACGATCTATGATTTTCTTATTAATTAGCAAACCCACATTTAAGAAGTACCATACCTTCGATACAGAAATTGATTGGTTAATTAACGAATACAGACTAAAGACTAATCTATGCTGACTAATCGTCATAAAATTACAGCATATCCTTTTTTAGTAAAACAGAACATACCAAATTTCATGATACTAAACTAGTCAACTACGTGCGGTGTAACACGGATCAAACCGATGATGAGCAAAATAAACTGCTGTATTCAAAATTTCAAAGCAAAATGAGAACATGCAATAATGTAGCATGGGCGTAAACAATTAACCAGAAGTACGTGTGAAACAAAACAAAAAAAATTCATACTCGTAAAGGGACATGATTTTTTTTCTAAAATTGTCTAATTTTAAAAATTTTAGGATAGAAATATTATGTTTCAATCTAATTATATAAATATTATGTAGAATCAAACATAAAAATTAAAATTAACGAAAGGAAGTTCGTAAGAAATGAAAATTTAGTGAAGAACCTGATTTGCCTCTTCTTTGTCTTTTGATTTGCCAATTTATTTCCTATCTTTGTCTATGAATCTGCATCAACAACAGTCCTTTTATACATGTTTCTCTCACCTTGGGATTCTTTCAAAACCCATGAAGTGTTTGAGCCCATGAAAATGGGCTACAAAAAGGTATATCATTTATTTTGGATGGCTTTTTTTTAGAATGGTTACATGGTTTGGAAATATTGGTACTAAATTTCAGCCATTCATCATGTTTTGAGTCATAATATTATTTTTTCACATATGTAGAGGGACATAATTTTTTTTTTCTAAACTGTTTTACAATTTGAATTTAGTTGTGGAAAGTTATATTTCAGTCGAAATATAAGGAACAACCAAAGCATTCATGAAGAGAGTGTTTGAAAAGAAGAAATGGGTATTGAGCCATTTTGTTAGTCCACTAAAACATATGATGGACCTCTTTGTAGCCCATTAGTTACTAAGCGGTATCTCATGCCTTCTTGTTTTTGCCGTTATTGATTCTCAGAATCTCAACCATGGAGGATGGCGATCGAGCACACCATCTTACAGTTCGTTGCTCCATCATTACCGGCTATTTCAGAACCAATTGCTTCTGCTGTACCTATCAAGCATAACCAGGACACAGTTGAGTCTAGCTTAGAAGCTAAACACAGCTGCTCAAATGCTGTAATAAGCTTTTAAACACAAAGGTTTTGCTGAAAACGTGGAATGTTGCGTTTGGTTTTAATGTTTAGACATTCGGTCACTCGTTGTAGCATTCAGAAATTGCAATTTAGAAAGAGACAAACAGACTCATAAACGTGAGTTTTTTTTGTTGAGAAAACTCATAAACGTGAGTTCAAAAGAAGTTTTAGTTGATGTCTAATTTTAAACAAGATACATAATAGCATAAGTATAAATTGTTTAGTGGTAGTTTCCTAACATGACCTCGTTGTCATCATGTGACTCTAGAAGTTTTTCATCATCGGGCTCGATCGAGATACCAAACAAAAACGTCTTGTTGATAGGAATTTTAGAACGAAACACTAAGAATTATAGTAGGAAAACATACAAATTAAAATACTAGACAACATACAATTATGATTTCGACCTTGGCATACATACGCTGTATATATGTTAATGCGATGCTTACCAATGTGGTCTCTCAACATACGTAAGAATAATTTGTTGTATATACAGCCGTATATTACAAATTTATGTGTAGGCCGGTGTGTAGATGGGTCAATATTAAAGGGATGCATGCACTTGTAATGTAAGTAAGCAACTTGCATACATTGTTTACATTAGTCTAACTTATCATTCCACTTCGCCCACCTTCAGTCTTTAGCTATTGGTCTCCAATCTCCATAACCATTTTTTTTCTTTTCATTTACATAGAGACGTATAGCACCATTCATGTTAACCAATATATATTAATACTCAAATAATTTTTATAATAGCTGTGGCCTGCTAAGCTGTTACGGTAGTAGGTCGATCTCTGAAATATATACTATCTAGATTTTTTTTTAATAAACCCTATATATGATAATTTGTAACAAAACTCATGATTTTCTTTTGCTGTAAACAAAAACAAAACTCATGATTTGATCAATTGGACGCTTTTTCAAAATAAGGTAAAACATGCATGCATGACTTGATTGGTTAGCTATAATTACATTTATGACTTAACGTTTAGGGTATCCAAAACAATCCACCTCGGTTTGATTTTTAACACGATCAGGCTCATATTTATAACCAAAACAATTGTGAAATGGTACTTACTTTAAATGCATATGTATAGACAAATGAATTAACGTCAATGGTCCCGTGTTATATTATCACATGAACTCCATTCAAATTACTAGTTGCATGGTCCCGTTTTAAACCTAACGATCCAGACAAATTATTGTAAAGCTATACGCCTATACCTATATTTGTAACAAGTATTTAAACCTACAAACTAGTCTCTCGAGATATCCCATATAGTTTCACGCATGCACAATAGACAAACAAACGACAAGCATTTGGATAGACGTATAGGCGTAAAAGTCTTATTGGGAATTTGTCTATGAATATAATTATTACAAAACTTTGATAGTAGAAAACAAAGTTTTATTTTATATTATTATTTTATTGAAGAATATAGTAGTAGCAGTAGTGGTAGTTATGCTAATATTTAACTATATATGAGCATTACTTAAAATTATATATTTACATGTATTGTCAGCTGTCATGAACACATTTTATATTCAATATATTTTTATATTTTTTTTAAAAAAAAAGGTTATACTAGCTAGCTGGCTAATTACTAATTCTTTGTGTTTGTCACTAATTTAGGTTTGGATTCGATGCATTTAGATGACATAATGGGTTACGGTATATCTGTTAATTCTTAGCAGTACATCACTAATATGGAAAATCCATGAACCAAAAATAAGCAGAGGGGAGCGGTAGATAACACGTAACACATTCACAGTTTATAGTGCAACTCTACAGGCACAACATTTTTTTAAGGACAAATGCACAGATGACCATAATTTGTTATGTATTCAAATGATTTAAAGCGTCAATAAGAGATGAGAGCGCTTTTAACCTAAATAGAAAAAGAGAGAAAAGAGAGATGAAGCCTTAGTTCAAAAAAAAAAAGAGAGAGATGAAAGTAGATGTTTTCTTGTCAATGATTTCTTTCTTTTACTTTTGTGAATGGATATCTAGAAACGTTTTTCGAAAAGGTGAAAACACAATGTACAGAAAAACAATCTGAATGTTTATTATTCAGATGATAATCGAGTTTATTATTCAAAATGTTTTGAGAATCGTGTCTTGATGAGCTTTTATTTTGTAAAGATGAAGCAGTAAACTCTCTAACGAGGTTTTTTTGTTTGAATAAAATTTAAAATTCTTTCAAAAAAAAAAAACAATGCACAGAAAAACTTCTCCTATATTCTCTTTCAAGACACACATTACCATACAAATTGAGATTTTCAACCTTTTCATCATTTTGCATGGAGGCTATGTATCAAGGATCAGATGTCCCATTCCAAATGATTTAAGGAAAGATAATGTTTCTTTTCTCAACAATGATGGTGGATGAACGTAGCTCAAAAAATGGATTTTGAAAAAGAAAGAGAGAAATAAAAATCTAAGCTATATACTATTTAGTTGATGCATAAGGATGAATAAGAACGAATATGACCAACACTGCCTTGGTTCAAAGTATTTGTTAAATGCATTTAGCTAGCGGTACATGAACCCACGTTTTAAGTAGATATCCACGATACTAATTAATTACAATAGCTACAAAATAGTATATATGCACCAACGGGGTCTTGTCAAAAGTTTGACTTATGTTGTGATAATGTATAGATTACGCGATGATATGTAAAATTTCTTTTTGTTTTTGTTTTATATGGGAATATTTAGTTTATGTTCAAGCGTGAGATAGATCAAGGCCGCTCAAATTGGTGCCATTGTGCGTGGGTGCCTTTTATGCCTAAAATGCGATTCTAATTTAGTAGGGATGTTAAATATTTTGGCATATATATGCGATTTCTTTGGACAAAAAGCATCATGGTTGTCTAATCTAATTTAGTAGGGATGTTAAATACGAATATATAGATCTTGCTGATCAGGGGTGGACGAAACTATTTGTAGAGAGGTTTAATCAGAGCTTTTAACTATAGAATATGAATTCCCGAGTACAAAAGATTGAAACTTATCTACATATATAAGTTTATAGCAAATGTACAAAAATAATCTATTATGCTGAGAATTCAATTTTGTGAAATATGTTTTTTTGTTCATTTTATTCACATTATATTTTGAATCATTCATTCTTATATATGTTCATTTCCTGTTGCGCTAATTGTATATGTTTTTTTCCATGTCTTCTATTTGGATGTTTTTTGTCCATATCAAGAATCTTAAACTACTATTTTAAAGAAATTACAGAATAAACAGAAAAGAAGATGTATTGGCTTTCTGCATGAAATGAATCCAATCTGGTCCATTGCAAGAGTACATCAGTACATCACCGGACAGTAGTGGACGACGAGTAGACGAGACATATCGAGAAAGTCTCCTTTTCGTCCATTCTATTTAGTTTTAGATATCTTTTTTGTTGGGCGAAAGTATTTTCGAAGGCATCAGAACAAAACATAATTTGTTGTTTAATGTTTATGTGTTCATATGTGATACTTTGAAACAAATAAAAGCATAATATTTTTATGGAACACATAGTTACAAAACATACACACTAAATGCAAATATTAAGTTTCTTTCTTTTTTTATGTTGAGTGATCAACATATGTTATGTGTTGAGATGTAATATTGTCTTTTTTTTTTGAAAAAGGGCAGATGTAATATGGTC